ATAATACACGCCGCAATTTCCAATAAAGAAGACGAATTTGCTAATAGATTGTCCCGCATTGAAGCAACCCCTCGTGTAGAGGAATTTCAATCACTAATATTTAATTATGCTAGAATTTAATAATGATCGGGCGCGTTACGTAACTTCGACACAGCCAGCCCACACTGTTCAGCAGATACRGTCCTATCTTCATCTATTTAATCGAACAAGAGCTTTCAATGCTTATTTCAGGATTGTTATCGGTTGTCAAGTGCTACCATATGATGAGATCGAGCAAATTAAAAAATAAAACTACAAGGCAACAAACTATGTATTGAGTCGCTATGAAAGAAATATCGTGAAGATGCGTCTCGTGTATATATTTCTGGTCTAAKAGATCATTTCTTGCATTCTAGTTTCATCATGATCAATCGACCTAAGCACTCTACTAGGTCTAGCTCAAGAACTGGAAGGAAATGAATGAGTAAAATAACTTTCAAGAACCAGGTCGGAATAATTACCAAAGAGCTTATCRGAGCCTATTTCGGAAATATAAACCCTTATAACCCTTTTAGACGCACATTTGCCTMATTCCATTTACAACCGTTGCAAGGGAACGAGTTAAATAACTATAAAGAATACGCAAATTATAATAGCAACAATATAGTGTAATATTTAATGTAAATTCTATACGGTACTGAATTATTAGAACGAAATCAAGRCGTTATTCTAGTCTAGAGGCTCGAATTTCGAGCTTTTTTCAACAATTAATAAAAGAGATGCACTAAATATTTTTACTATCCGTTTTTATCATTTGCTTATTAAACTTAGAAGAGTACACAAAATAAATTAAAGAAAAACAATTTTTTTTTTCATCGAGTTATGCGTCCTTGAAGAAAAGGGGGAAAAATAGAGGCCGTGTCCTTATGATGCCATGATTTCTACCCTTGTCGTCATCTGAAAGATAAAACAATGACAGATTCTTAATGAGTACGAACGTCGCTATGTCATAAAGTAGCAAAACTAAAAAGAACTTTGTTTCATAAAATGGCGGCTACTCCAAAAGAAAAGCTCGATTTTTCATTAATTTTTCAATTTTGTAAATTATTATAAATTTCAAATTTTTCTTTTTGTTACTTCTAGTGATAGAGATATATTTAAAGAATATTCATGCCAAATTGCAAATAAATCGACATGTCGAACGAGTGTTTTAGCTCGTTGGCCGCTATGGCCGCCAGTATGCMGGTGCAAACCYTTTGAATGACCTTTACGTCTGCGTAACGCTTTCTTTTTACGGGCAAATGCATTTTTTCGAAAAGGAAGAAGTCGCACGGTGCCATATCAGGTGAATACGGGGAGTGGTTAATGGTTAAAATGTGATTTTTGGTCGACTATTCGGTCACAAGCGTCGATCGGGTGCTAGATTCAAAAAGTCGTGTTTACTTTGGAAAACAGCTTATATATAGTATACATAGTTCGATCCTCTGGTTAACGTTTTATACCTTAAAGTATTTCCCCGGCTTTGTTTCTGGCAAGTTGCAAGATTATAAATTGTTCGGTTGCACCCGAACTTAGCGCTTCCTTATTTAAACATATTACGTTATAAAATACTAAATACCCCGGGTATTGCCTTGACTAGGGTTATTCATTTAGAGCGACATGATCTTATAATATAAAATTGTAATATATAAAAATTTTATATAACAATTTGCGGACCCCGCAGGCGTTGGCCTGCATGAAATTATATGTTTTGAAATGAAAAGCAAGTTGAAATTTTTTATTGTGTTGAAAATCATTTATTTACGATTTTCCTACCTTTTTTTCAATAAAAAACATTTTTTGGTTTTTGTTTCCATGCGTAAATGTACATAGAAGATGGTTTTCCAACTCATGAATATGTCACATATGACAAACATAGCATTTCCAGATTTATGCCACACACTTCTAGTGASTATCCTCRTGTCCTGTTGATTGTCATGGCAAATGCAATTTTCACTGGAAATTGAACACTTTTGAAATGACATGGCAAATCGTTGGATCCCGCGAATTTGACTTTGAATCTTCCAATTTAACTCATAACCATCGGTATTTTATTCAGCTAAATTTGCGTGTGAACTTGAGGTATCGTAATTACGATAATTTTACCAATGTTAGGATAAACATTCGTGATGAGCTAGATTCTTGGATTAACTAAGATGTAAATTTTTTTATGCAATGTAATTTTTGCTCGYATTCCTTAATTGACGGGGATTTGAAGGCTGATATGTCGAAAAGATYATCGCGAAACGTGTGCAAACTTTAGTGGCATGCGAATTAGCTATCGCACCGTCCATCGTTTGATTCCAGTGATTATCATGTGGTGTCCGCAAGGTCAATGAATCATATTGGCTTTCAGCAGTTCGTATAATTCTGGAGTATCTCTGGATCAGGAATTTCCGCTGAAATGATTTCATTAATTTGATCTGGTATAATCATCATCCACCAGCATCTTACATCATCATATATGCGTTGCTTCAAGACAAAGTCTATCAAACATCGTAGATGTTGTTTGAAAAGTGCTGTGACATCATGACGATCACTTGCTGATTGACCGGCGATTCAATAATTCCGTAATAAAACAAGATTTGTATGGAAAAAATTATTTTTTTTTGAATTTTCCAATTTTTCTCATCAAAAGTGTAAGGTTTTTTTTATTTGTAAACCTTCCCAGATCCACAACGAACTACATCTGAAAATTTCATTGTGATTGGTTCATTGAACATTCATTTTTATATACAATACAAGGAGTTCTTGCCTGGTATCGAGCCTGCGTTGTATGTATTTATTTTTAAATTGTTTATTTCTAACAGAATTCTAAACTTTAAAAATATGTGTTGACTCATGAAAATTATTTCTCTACTCCATTTTTCAGTCTATACAATGTGGTAACAAAAGGTTTTGCTTCACAGGAGCTTCAACCTCAWTTTACTACATTTTAGGGTTCTGTTGAGCTTCATTTTTGKGAAACCGGCTCACCTAATTCGTATTTCCAGAGCGCGTCATACTGAAATTAACGTAAATTAATCCATAGGAAGTGCCAAATCTGTCCGAACTGGATATGAAAAAATACAGTGTATACATATTTAAATCCTCACGCATTTTGGCCTTTTTCTTTTTGGAGGGGTAAAAGCAATAGCTTATGCAGACGATATAGTGCTGTTGGTAGCAGGCATGTTCCCTTTAACAGTCAGTGAGATTTTAGAAAGAGCACTACGCAGGTTACCCCAAGGGCTAAGAACTTAACCTTAATAAAACAGTAATGATGCTATTCACAAGCAGAACCAAAATCTCCCAGTTCAACTTCCCGTACTAAACGGTACAACAATTTCTTTATCCCCCACAGCTAAATACTTGGTGGTGGAGATTGACACCAAACTGTTCTGGAAAATAAATATAGTAAAAAGAAAACACGTYAACTGCGGCTGCACCGAAGCTAATATACACTTCACAAGTGCATTTCTTATAGTAACTATGTGTTCAGTTTGTATGGCAGCTATATGCTATAGTGAGCCGATCTGAAAATTTTGTTCGGAGATTACATTGTTGAATTAGAAAATARCCTGTGCCAACTTTTGTGAAGATGCATTGTCAAATGTGAAAGTTTCCATACAAGAACTTGGTTCCGATCGTTCAGTTAGTATGGCAGCTATATGTTATAGTGGTCCGATATCGGCAGTTCCGACAAATAAGCAGCTTCTTGAAGACAAAATGACGTTGGCAAAATTTCAAAACGACAGCTTAAAAACTGTGGGACTAGTTCGTATAAATACAGACGGACAGACAGACTGATGTAAATATATATTCAAACTTCGGGGCAAACTTCAAATACCCTGTTCAGGGYATAAAAAAAAGAATAAATAAAGCTTATATGGCCTACTACACTTACAAGAGAATCGTCAGGGGGCTGTCATAAGCCCTATACTTACGTGTGGAGGTATATCTGGTCTGGTATGGTGGCCAGCGCTAAAGAAAAAATACAACATTAGGAAATTAAATGGAATACAAAGAGCAGCATGTGTAGGTGTTACTGTTGCAATCAAGTCATGTCCGACTGACGCGCTTAATGTGGTTCTGCATCAACTACCCATAGACATCTTTATCCGAGGCTGCGAAAAGGTAGAGAACAAAGAAACAATTTACCATTTTCTCTGTGAATGCCCAGCCCTTCACAGATCCGACTCAGAACACTTGGAATCCATAAAACAGCAAATATTGAATGGATGTCTACAAAAAGCATATCGGACATACATAAGTAGCTTCATCGAAACCTCAAAATGGTTTGAAAGAGAAGATGAAACGTGATAGCAAATAAAAAGGTCTACGACTAGCGCACAATATTCTTGTTATTAATAGGGTGCATTTGTTTTATAATAGGTAGTCAAAAAATTCTTGCGGTATTTTTTTTTATTTATTTTATAACGGTTTGATGGCTCATGCCCAGCTCTTGACCAATGCTACGGTTGCTACTATGCCGGTCTCTTTCGACCAATTCAGCGATTTTATCGCAATTTTAGACGACAGGCCTTCTGGAGCGTGGCGCATCTTYGACCACCTCTACACCAGAACGAAAACGTTGAARCYATCGTTGTGCGGTGGAAAYRGAAACTGTATCGGGTCCATAAACTGCACAAATTTTATTGGCGGCTTGAGATGCATTTTTGCCTTTATCGTAGTAGTACTGTAAAATATGCCGTATTTTCTCTTTATTTKKCTCCAKKTTTGCGRCGCTATAACTCAGGAACGACTTAAAAGAAACGACAATCAATCAAACACTTGTTATCGCGTGAAATGAGCTTTACAAAAAGGTATAGCCTGACCCGATGCGACGAATAAAACTAGAACTACGCGCTCTCAGCGCCAACTAGCGGAAATACCGCAAGAATTTTATGACAACCTAATATATTAGGTATATACAAATATTAACAATCTATATTAAACACAAATAATCGCATTTCTTGTCATGTAATTAATTCTCATTTCAGGTTGTAAAATCAAAGCTCTTCGCGCAAAGACAAATACTTACATAAAAACACCAGTACGTGGTGAAGAACCAGTCTTTGTAGTTACTGGTCGTAAGGAAGACGTAGGGAAAGCCAAGCGCGAAATATTATCTGCGGCAGAACATTTTAGCTTAATACGTGCTACACGCAAGCCTATAATTRACAACAGCTGTGAAGCAATTAATGATAGTGTGGATGGAAATAATTGTGGATCAATTGATTTTAGGAAGGTACCGACCGGCCCACAGTCTATACCAGGTCAGGTGACCAAACAGGTCAGAGTGCCCTATCGAGTTGTTGGTTTAGTGGTAGGTCCCAAAGGCGCAACTATTAAACATATTCAGCATCAGACACAGACATATATTGTTACACCATCTCGTGATAAAGAACCAATATTTGAAGTGACTGGTTTGCCTGACAACGTTGAATCAGCACGTAAACAAATTGAAGCTCATATTGCTCTTCGCACAGGAACTTTATCCACGTGTGGTGGGAATAACAACAGTTCTGTTATACTGTCAGGTTCGACAAATGATGTACTAGCTGTTCACAGCTTGAATCTTTTAAGCCAAATCTTAAATGACCCCTCAATAGAATCCGATTTACTTGTGTCTCTTTATAAAGCCGATCGCATGCGAAATACGCTTGAATGCGARGAAGAAATAGGTGCTAAAGTATCAGAAACGCCATACACAAATAAAATAAATTTTAATGTCAACTGCTTGGAAAATAATTCTATAGATAAACAGTCTTATATGAAACTTTTACAGACTGATAATATACAGTTCCAAAATTTTAGCTGGACGCACCAAATTCCTGATTACATAAATTATTCAACTAATAATGCTAATTTGAAGAAAGCAAGTGAGTCTAACATCCTTACAGATGTGGATATTAGTCATCAATCATCTCTACAAAAGCAGCACAACATGTTTACATCCTCACAGTCTATTTCTAGTGTAAATAATCAGTTGCAATCCTCACAAAAGAATCAGCCAATGCTTTTTGGCAACCTTGGTTGTTATATACAAACAATTAATATTGCAAACAATTCTACTGCTTCAAACAACACGAGTAAAAGTGGTTTCACTCATATTAAGTATAGTAACTCGAATACACAAAACACTAGTGTATTGACTGGTATGGCTCGGTTGTTGTTGTTGTAACGATTATCAGTCCCCGTTGGGATGGTGAGGGTTATCAGTGTTGTTGCGATATGGCTCGGTCTTGTTCATCGGCTTCATCAACTGCGTCATCGAAAAGTGCAAATAACAGTGGTTGTGGTAGTAGCAGCCGACCAGAACTTATTAATATTTGGAAAAGTTTAGGAGATTCCCTTGATAAGGATGAAGGAATCGGAGATTCCCCAAATATTTGGACTTTACCTCAGCCCCTGTCAACATTAACAGGGTCTCATTGTTCCCCGTCAACTTCAATAAGTCCGACTGATTCACTTTTGGGCGATATTTCTACACAAACTCACCTAAACAACATTGGCATGAATAACATAATAAACGAATCACATCACGAGACAGATAATATTAAAAATGTATTGCAGCAACCCCAATTTAAAAGGAAGRATGCAATAGAATGCCCAGTTAACAATTCGGCAAATCAACGGCGGGATTGTTTGATCTGTAAGAGTAAGAAAATAACTGCTGTTTTGGTTCCATGCGGKCACAATATGTTCTGTATGGAATGTGCCAATTGCATTTGCGAACTAGGGGATGCAGTTTGTCCCGTTTGCAGTTTAAACGTTTATCATGCTATGCGTATACTAGCATAAGAATGTACACGCATAAAAATAGTAAGTAAGAATAATTAGATGAATTCAAATACTTATTAAAATTATATGTGACCTATTAAAATCTATAAATTATTAAGAGCGATTCGCTTTACGAATCTTAATAAATTATGTCAATTGATACAGTTATGCATTTATGGTATATAACCAAGCACGGCATCGTACATACATACGGAAAATTAACTGTAACTGAATGACCCAATAAATCATTTCCTACATAATAATTCATCTATACAAATTATTAGACATTTTAATAATATACTAGAATTTGTACGCKTTTGAATAACGACACTTAAAAGTATATTTTTATATTTGAAATTATATTTTTATGTAAAGTATAAGGCTCCTGTATGTATCAGTTAATAGTATTATCAAAAAATAATATACCGCTCATGCATTAAGAAATAAAAAGTTACAACTCTTGTATGAGAAATTAAGGTGCGAGGACAAAAATTTTGTCAAACATAAATCAGAATGTCATAGACACTTATCGTACATTTATGAGTCTAGTTGTATTTATAATTTTACTTATGTAGAATATGTATAAAAATATATATCCAAATATAAATTAACAAAACGAGTT